TGTGTTGTCGGTGACTGTTGATGTAGCGTTCTGTCAATGTCAGGTCAAGGTGGTTGGTAGTATTGTTCATATCATCTATATCTGTACCGATTTTTTAAATCTAGTTTCTCTATCAATTTCTGAAAGAGGAGAAAATCTCTATCAAAATCTGTTTTATTTTCCAGTTATCTGCTTGTCTAATTCTTTCAATATTGCATCAATTATTTTGAAGCTCTATTCTTAAACACATACATAGTTATAGCTATTATGTTTTGATAATGAGATTACCTTTATCATTATGAAATCTCGATCTTTAGTAATACTCCATGTGAAGTTGGTTTTATCTATTATTTATATAGCAACTCCAGCCTTCTTTTGCTTACTCTGTGCATGTTATATATTTTTCATCTTCATGCATTTACTTTGAATTTTTCTATATCTTTAAGTTTTAAGTACACCGCTTAACAGGATCATGCTTATCTTAGAATCTCTGCATTTTTCTATATATTTTTCATTAAACTATGTCTCTGTTAGATAACCCATAGTTGGGTCTTTTATCTGTTTGGGCAGAGTTTTTTAAACGGGGTGTTTATTTTCTAATATTTAATGTAATTATTTATATGGCTCAATTTAGGTCTGCCATTTTATTGTAGGTTTTCATTTGTTCCCTTTATTGTTTTTTTTACTCCTTTCCTCATTTTTTTCGGTTTATTTGAGTATTTCTGAAATTTAATTTTATCTATTGGCTCATTAACTGTAGTTTTTTCCATTTTATTTATCCTAGGAATTACAGTGCATATATTTAGCTTTTCATAATCAATATAGAGTTAAAATTGTACCACTTTACCTAAATTGTAGGAATGGTACAACTATATAGGCCCATTTGCCAAGACCCCCATCATTTAGCTAAAATTTTCATATATATTACATCTACACAGTCTATAAATCCACTAAGGTAAGTTATAATTTTTGCCTTAAACAGACTTTATAATATATATATATATATAATGTATATTGCCTTAAATAATACATATTTAAATAATATTGTATGTTTTTCTATATTATATAAACTTAATTAGAAAAGAGAAGCACTGCTTTGTATTTTTACCCAAATATCTTCATTTTCTTTCTGAGGATGTGTATCTGGTATCATTTTCCTTCAGCCTGAATGAAGTGTTTTAGCTTGATTTAGCATTTCTTAAGATGCCAATATGCTGTTAGTTTTTATTCACATATGTTGAAGTTCTTTTATTGGTTATATTTAGAATTATCACAGCTTCTTGATGAATTGAACTCTTTATTATTATATAATGTCTCTCTTGGTCCTGGTATTTTTCTTTGTTCTGAAGTCAGCTTTGTCTGATATAATATGAACACTTCAGCTTTCATTTAAGTAATGTTTTCATGTTATAACTTTTTCCAGTCTTTAACTTTTAACTTACGTCTTTATACTTAAAGTGGGTTTCCTGTAGACAACATATATATATAGGTCTTGGTTTTTATCCAATCTGAGAATATTTACTTTTAGTTGGAGTGTTTGGACCAGCGCTATCCAATAAAAATAAAATGTGAGCCATAAATATCAGTCACATAAGTATTTTTTTAAATTTTTAGTAGACACTCAAAAATAGGAGAAATATTATTTCAATACTTTATTTTATTAATCTAAATCTATCCAAAATATTATCATTTAAACACATAATCAATGGAAACATATATTAGTGAAATATTTTACATTATTTTAACTCATACTAAGTCTTGGAAATCTATTGCACAGTTTATGCTCACATCACATTTCAATTTGGCCTAGTAACCAGATGTGACTGTAGTATTGGATAGCACAATACATAGCCAATGCGGGTACAGTCAATGTGTTGAAATTAAATCTGTCATCTTGCTATTTTCTATTTGTTCCATCAGTTCTTTGTTTCACTTCTCCAATATTTCTGTAATTTTTATATTATGAAGTTTATGAGATTAATTTTATGATCCTATTGTATCTTTACCATCAGGTCCACCCCATTGTCTTATTTTTAGTGGTTGCTCTAGGGTTTACCACATACTTCTTTAACTTACCAGAGTCCAAGTTAAGATAATACTATTATCACTTCTAATATAGTGTAAGAACCTTATAAGGGTGTATCTCCATATCCATGTTTCCTCTTTCTGCTACGGTTGTCATATATTTTATTTTTAGTAATGCTATAAACCACCCTATGCATTACTATTATTTCTTAAAAATTAAGTATATTTATTAAGAATAAATAGGAAATCGTCTTCTAGAGAATATTTTAAAAGCTAGAAAACATGTATTTAACTACATATTCACCATTTCCTACACACTTAACGCCTTTTGCAGATTTAAATGTACATTTGGTACCAATTAATTTCAGTCTGAAAATTTTCCCAAAACACTGCTTTTAGAGTGAAACTTCTTGAATCTCACAAATATTGTTGGTCTGCAAACGTATTTTGCCATCACTTGTGAAAAATACTGTAATGTGTATACAATTCTAGGTCAAAAAAATGTTTTCATGGGCACCTGGGTGGCTCAGTTGGTTAAGCGACTGCCTTCAGCTCAGGTCATGATCCCAGGGTCCTGGGATCGAGTCCCACATCGGGCTCCCTGCTCTGCGGGGAGCCTGCTTCTCCCTCTCCCACTCCCCCTGCTTGTGTTCCCTCTCTCGCTGTGTCTCTCTCTGTCAAATAAATAAATAAAATCTTTAAAAAAAAATGTTTTCATTGAGCATACTAAAAGGTCTTATGTCACTGTCTTTTGGCTTTTATACTTTCAGATAAGAAGTCTGTTTTAATGTTGATCTTATTTCTCTCTTTGGCATGTGTCTTTTTTTCCTCTGCCTTCTTTTAAGATTTTTTTCATTATCACTGGTTTTCATTGATTTTACCATTATATGTTTTGGTATCGCTTTCTTTATATCTCTTGTGTTTGTTATTTTTAAAATTTGTCAGATTTGTGTATCCATTATGGTCATCCAATTTATAAACTTTTAATAATTATTTTACCACGTTTTTTCCCCTGCCTCATTCTCTTCATTCTCTTCTTCTGGGATTCCAATTACAAATGTGGTAAATGCTTGATAATGTCCCTCTGATCACTGGTCATTATGTTTTTGTCTTTGTCTATGATTTATTTAATATATTTTTAATTAGTATGCCATTAAGTTCAATGATATTTCCTTTTCTATGCCTAATTTGTTTTTAACATCCAGTGTATTTTTTTCATTTCAAATATTGAATTTTATATCTTTGGGCATTCAACTTAAATTTTATTTACAACTTCAGTAAGATCATTTGTGCTTAAGATCTCATCACATTCATGTGTTCTTTTATATTCTTCAATATACTTCTAATATTTATCATAGCTATTCTTTTAAATTAGTAAACTTTATTTTTTAGAGCTGCTCTAAGTTTACAGAAAAAAATCCGCAAGTTCAAAGATTCCAATATATACTCTCTTTACCTTAAGCCCTACACACAGTTTTCCCTATGTTTAATATATCAGAGTGCTGTGGTCAACTTGTTACAACTGATGAACCTGCACTGATACATCATTACCCAAAGTCCATAGTTTACATTAGGCTAGGGCTCACTCTTTCCTTGGTATACTTCTGTGGGTTTTGACAAATGCTTAAAGTCATGTATCCACCATTACAGTATCATAGAGCATAGTTTCCCTGTCCTAAAAAAATCCCTTTGCTCCACCTATTTATCTCTCCCGCAACCCTAATCCCTGGCAGCCATGAGTCTTTTTTACTTTCTCTTTAGTTTAGTCATTTTCAGAATGTCACATAGTTGGGATTATCCAGTGTGTATACAGCCTTTTCAGATTGGTTTCTTTCATTAGCAGTATGCACTTAAAGCTCCTATATGTTTTATCATGGCTTGATAGCTCATTTCTTTTTACTGCTGAAGAATGTTCCATGGTCTGGAGGTACCAGTTTATCATTCACTCATTTAGGGATATTTTAGGGCCTTTCAGTTTGGGGCAATTATGAATAAAATTTCTTTAAACATTTGTGTACCTCTTGTGGTGGTGATAATAAGTTTGAATTCAATTGTGTAAATACCTAGGACCACAATAGCTGGGTCGTATGATAAAACTATGTTTAGGTTTGTGACACACTGCCAAACTTTCTTCCTAAGTGGCTGTAAAATATGCCACACCTGCCAGCAATGAATGAGCGTTCTCAATGCTTTACATCCTCACCAGCATTCAATATTATCAATGTTTTAGATTTTGGCCATTCGAATAGGTATGTAGTGGTATCTTGCTATTTTCATTTTCAATTCCCTAATGACATAATGTTGAACATCTTTTCATGTAGTTATTTGTTATCTGTGTATCTTCTTTAGTTAGGTGTCTGCTCAGATTGCTCATTTTTTTAAGATTTCATTTTTTTAAGATTTCATTTTTTTAGAGCAGTTTTAGGTTCAGAGGTAAGTTGAGGGGAAGGTACAGAGATCCCCCAGTGACCTCCTGGCCCCACACATGCATATGCTCCTCCATTATCAACATCCCCCACCAGAGTGGCACATTGGTTACAAATGATGAAACTACATCATAATTACTCAAAGTCGATAGTTTGCATCGGGGTTCACTCTTGGTTTTGTACCTTCCACGAGTGTGAACAAATATATAGTGACATGGGTCTTCCATTATAATAACAGAGAGAGTATTCACATTGCCTTAAAATTTTTCTGTGCTCCACCTATTCATCCCCTGCCAACCCCTAACAACCACTGATCTTTTTGCTGTCTCCATAGTCTTGCCTTTGTAGGCTTTTCAGATTGGCTTCTTTCATGTAGTAATGTGCATTTAAGGTTTCTCTATGTCTTCTCATGGCTTGATAGCTCATGTCTTTTAATGCTGAATAATATTCCATTGTCTGGATGGCACCATTTATCCATTAGACTGCTGAAGCACATCTTGATTGCTTCCAAGTTTTGGCAATTATGAATAAAGCTGTTATAAACATCTGTGTGAATGTTTTTGCAGGGACATAAGTTTCAACTCCTTTTGGTAGACATCAGGAAGCAGGACTGCTGGATCATATGGTAAGAATATGTTAAGTTTTGTAAGAAACTGCCAAACTATCTTCCCAAAGTGTTTGTGCCATTTTGCATTCCCACCAGCAATGAATGAAACTTCCTGCTGCTTCACATCATTGCTAGCATTTGGAGTTGTCACTGTTCTGGATTTTGGCCATTCTAATAGATGTGTAGTGGTATTTTCCTGTTGTTTTAATTTGCATTTCCTGATGACATATGATGTGAGGCATCCTTTCATATGCTTATTTGCCATCTATATATCTTCTTTGGTGTGGTGTCTGTTAAGATCTTTGAGCTATTTTGGGGGCGTCTGGGTGGCTCAGTCGTTAAGCGTCTGCCTTCGGCTCAGGTCATGATCCCAGGGTCCTGGGTTCGAGCCCCGCATCAGGCTCCCTGCTCTGCGGGAAGCCTGCTTCTCCCTCTCCCACTCCCCCTGCTTGTGTTCCCTCTCTCGCTGTGTCTCTCTC